CCCCACCCCCACCCTCTCCCCCCAAAAAAAGAAAGACAAAAGCAACAAATGAGCAAACATGTAACCGTTAAACATTTCTCAACGTGTGGAAAAGTGTCTGTCCGATTCCACTGTTTTGACGAGCGCCTGGTTCTACCACGATGCCTCCTATTTTCTCCCCATAAGCCTTGGATGAGCTGTATCGAGAGCCGGCGACTGTGTCTGTTTTTCCTATCTCTGTCCCTAGTTTTGGCAAAACCACGTAACTTTTCACGCCTTTAGTGCGCCAGGGTTACATGTTCATTATTGGGATAGAACGTAAGGTGCATGCGCCGAACAAATGAACTCTCCCTACCCGCCAGTGTTATGAGGTTGGGGGGGGGGGGGCTAAGGGTGAGTGGACTGTTGTATCTGTGACGTCATCTCCGCTCTCCGCACGTCCTGGGGGAGACATTAGTCGTCGTTTTAGCGAGGTGTCATTAGGTCGCCTGTTTGGCGTGAAACGTTTTGTGCTGGGATCTTTTGTTTTATTCCTGCTAGACATCATCACTGCTAAGTGGGGAGGGGGGGGGCATGGTAGGAATAGACAGAACAAGAAATGGAGTGAAAGAAAGAGGGAACTGGCTGATGTTTGAGGCGAATTAGACAGATAGATCAACATTGGGGTGTTTGGGCAATTAAAGGGTTTTTGTTGATGTCAGTGTTGTCTCAATGAGGGACATGTTGAACTGTAGCGACTTGATCAGGGACATTCAGGACACAGGAAACAGTCGTGGATCGGGAACGACAATTCTAGATTGTTCCATCACTGAGGAACAATAGACGCTCTGGGAGAAATTATTGTTTCCATTAAGTGTTGACAAAGCAACTCCCTCCCGCAGAAAGACACACCCTCCCCCTCAAGATAAAGGTGACACACCCTCCCCCTCAAGATAAAGGTGGGGAATCAAAGAAAGAAAAGATACAATTGTACAATAGGAAAGAAAAAAAATCTTAGTGAATAAATAAATACATTAATTTATAAAAAAGAAGAAAAAAAAAAGAAACAAAAACAGACAATGCGAAAGGAAAATAAAATAGAAAAAACAAAACGGAATCCGCTCAACAAGATCTGACTCACAGGCTGGTAGTTTCTTACTGTAGTGAGAGCGGAAGAAAACAGACAAAGGAAAAAAATAAAATATTATTCTAGATATAGATGTATTGGATGTATTGGATGTATTGGATGTATTGGATGTATTGGATGTATTGGATGTATTGGATGTATTGGATGTATTGTAGATGTATTGTGGCATTATTGTACTTGTGTTGTCGCTTCTTGCGTTCTGGCATCCGCGCCATTCATGTCATGTTCTGTTGTACATGTGTTATTGTTCCCACATTCACGAAAACACAGCCGCCTGCCGCCCGTCAATCCTGTCTATCACAGTGCACGCCAAAGACATGGGATCGGTTCCTGGGGAGAGAGTCGTGCCTGCAGCGGCCACGCGATGTCGGTGGTACAAGACGGTCCTGTTATGGTTTCCTCAATTGTTTATTGTCAACGGATTTTTTTTCTAGCTTTTCGTTTTGCCTTTTTTGAGAAGGGGTGGGGGTGGGGGTGGGGGCAGGGCGTGGTACTAGTACTATCGTAGTGTGTCAGCCCGATCCTTCCTATCAAACAACTCATCTTTATCTCCCCTCCTTTGTGTGTGTTTGTTACTGTCTTGTAACCCCTCTAACCCCTCGGCACTTATATATGACCATATTGTGTTACAAATGCCGTAAATCGCTTACTAAAACATATCTCTCAGCCCGGGTTGGTCCTGACAAGCAAGGGCTAAGTTGCCCGCCTCTTATTTATTCTAAAATGTGTGGAAGGTGCTGTAAAATCCTTACTTAAAGATGCACTCATTCGGCGGCCACGTGTGGCAGAACAGTGCGATGGAAGAAATCTTTTTTCCCCTCTGTGATAACGGGGAACGTGGTGATTAAAACTGGATGAGTGGTTAAAGAATGTCACTGGTAGGTAAATGTACAAGTCTTTTTATTTTATGTGTGAGTGTTTGTGTGTGTGTGTGTGTG